AGGCAGGCAGCTTCGCCAGGACTGCCATGGGGTCCTGCCTCCTGGCATTCAACCTGTGTGACTCCCTCCCATGTCACACCAGGCTGCTTCATGCAACCAGCAGAATGGGGTGGAAATGATCACATCACTTCCAAGATCGGGATATAAAAAAACTGTGGTTTCCATCTTGGGTGGTCTGTCAGCCGCTCTCCCATAGATCGCCTGCTCTGGGGTGACTGGAGCGCATTCTGGCAGTCCTGGGACGAGGCCCACGTGCTGAGGAACGGGGCCTTGCTCCTGTGGGCTTCAGAAGGCTGCAGCCTCGTGAGAAACCCTGGGCCAGAATTCCCCTCTAAGCTGCCCCCCTCCCATCCCTGTCCCTCAGAAACTGCTTGAAGGGAGCCACCTCTGGGGTCAAGCTGTCACACAGCACAGATAACTACTACAAGGTATCCATACCCATCTGGTAAAGTTATGAAGTTAGAGTAATCAGGATGAAGGGTAACTCTGGGGAGAGGGGTTGGGTGGGGCTTTAGCTGGACTTAGTTTTCATTTCTAGGACAAATTTTTAAAGAAAATACAAAACCACGTAAGCATTTGTTAAATCTGGCTATCCCATATGTATGCACATGGTATATAATCTTCTGTCACTTACGGCATTTTATCTATCCCTTAAAACATTTTATAATCACAAATAAACACTTTTAGAAAGGAGGAAAGGTGATGCATCTGCTCCATTTATCCTGCGCCGTGGCGCCCTGCCTGGCTCCCTCCGCTGCAGCCCGGAGGACAGTCATTACTCTAATGGCTACACCATTCCCAGCAGAGAGCAGACAAGTGGCGGTGTGTTTTCCCAGAGCTGGTTTGAGTACCACAATCTCAAATATATTTTTTAAAAAGCAACAAAAACACACAGAGGAGCCCTAATGAGGAATTCACAATGAAACGGAGGAAAAAACACCGCCCTGCCCTGACACAGTTAATACGAAACCCGTCCCAGCAGCAGTTCACCAGGAAACGCGGTCATTCCACGCCGCGGCCCAGGACGCGCTCACACCGTTGCCATAGTAGCCTCCACTTTAATGGCATTTAACAAGAGGACAGAAATTGCAGGCAAAATTGCTTCGGTTCTTAGATTTCCTTAGTTATAAAGAAGTAAAATATTCACAGTGGGGAAATACAGAGATGATGTGGTCCCACTTCCACGGAGAAAGGCCTCGCTCGATCGTAATCTAACTGGCCGGAGGAGTGAATGCAGCTCAGAAAGGCAAAGGCTCACTCGTGACAAAGGTGAACACCGGGCACGTCTGAGGTCCCCATCTGCTCACGAGAGCAAAGCGACACACGTCTGCATCGATGTTTAAGGCACTCACGACGCATCATGTCTGTACACCGGGGTGGGCGGTTTTTATTTACACAGAATATGAATAGGCCGAATATTCCAGGTGTAATTTCTCCTGTTAATATTTCTCTCCCTCCGTTGTCTAAATGGTTACTTTACTGTTCAGACACGTCACTGTACTAAAACCAGGAGATGAAGCTCACCTATCTGCTTCACCTGCCAGAATTCCTGTTTTGAGAATATGTTTTTATTAAAAATCATAATAACGTAAATCTCTCTCCCCTGAATAACTGGGCTGTGGTCCCTTGGTGTCTCCCTCGCACTCTCGGCAGGTTGAGCCCAGAGTGAAGGTCTGAGCCCGGCACCTCCCCTGTGCTGAGGTGTCATCAGCTCCCATCAGATCCTCCTCTGTTCCCTTCACCGACATCCTCTTGTGTGTCACCACCAGCTCCCAAGATTTCCTCTGCTCCACCTCCTTGTTCTTTTGGGACCTCATGCTTATTTAATCCCCCCCCCCCACTTTGTGTGTTACCAGCACAACATGGGGATTTCATGCTGTTCTTGCCATTAAATCAGCTACACCAATATCTTTCTTGTCCTTGGAAATCCCATTGGAAAACACTGCAGCTTCCTGGCCACTTCCCAGAGCTGACTGCTTTCCCCCTCCTCTGTGGCAACTGTGTCACACCCGCTGCTGTGATCTGCCCCTTGCCTCCCGCTGGGACTGCCTGATCCTCCCACTAAGCCCTGTGCTGTGGGGACACACTCTACTGAAGCAAACTGCTAAGTCTGAAGACTTGCTCGAACTCACAGGGTTTAACCATCCTCTCGACTTTCTTGTGCTCTGCTGGCTCCTCTGAAGACCTGCCCTCCCTTCAAGCCAGACTTTGCAGAGTAACGGGTGTGCAGCCCTTACATGCCCCTGCAGGGGAATTCCACAAGAAACAGTCCTCCCAGATATCATCTTTAGGGTTTTGAGAACTAGCAATGATGGGTGTTTCCTTCTTATCTCATAACGAGGGCGGCTCTGGGGAACAATAAGCGTCCATACTTTGTATAGGAATTTCCTTCTTTGCGCACTTTGCTCTTTCAAAAAACTGCGAACACCAAGGCTCCCAGAGCATTTTTATTCCTGAAAACTGTAAGGGCTGGCATTGGTCCAGCACTTGCCATGTGCCAGGCGCTGGACTAGAAGTTGTGCAAGGATGATCTCATCCAGTACCCCCAGAACCCCGCTTTATTGGTAAGATTTTGATCACGGATAATAGGCATGTGTGAAATAATTCAAGGGCAATCGACTTGTCATCAAGGATTGCTTCACACAGTGACAGGAGCCCGGCTCCCCACCCCGCGCGAGGGCTGCTCACCTGCACAGGGGCTGACTGCGAAGCCCACCCTGCTCCTCGCTCTGTCGAAGATGACGTAGAAGCCCTCCATCACGGTGGCGCCGATCACCAGGGCGTTGGTGGAGGGGGAGATGCCGAATCGGTAACATTCGTAGTTCAGGCTGGTCCCCACCAGGGGCTGGATGTAAAGCTGTTTATTGAAGAGGGAGAGTAAACAACAAGAAGCAGCAACAATCAGAACCTCCCCAAACCGTGGTGGTCACACGCATGCTCAGGACCCTCCAGGGTGCAGGGGGGAGTCACCTGGAAAGAAAGACCATGGTCTGATATCTGATCCCCAGGAGATGAGAAGGCCAAAGGCACAGTGACTTCACGCAGGGAAGCACACCCAGAGATTTGTGTCCGCCGGCCTGTCTGCCCGGATGCCTTCGGCCTAGCAGTTGTCTGTGGAATACTTAACACGGCCCGATGTTTCCACCATACCAGTCATGCCATGTCGAATGACACTGGCCCCTACCCTCATCTCTGGGATAGCCAGGTAAAAACCAGAGGGGGGGAAGTGCCCTGGAAGGCCCCATCTATGGGCAGTGGTGACCAGCCTGGTGGCTCCCTCTAGCTAGAAGCTCTCAATTCACCTCCTCCTCTCCCAACTCACTAGCTGGTCCAGTTCAGAGGCCTCTGTATGGTATCAGCTTCACCTTCCCTACGGGTGTCAGGGACCCCAGGCTCTGGCCTCCTCTCAATCTTCCCTGTGTGGCCCCTCTAGCCCACAGCCCTAAGTGCACCTGTGCTCTAGGCCTAGGCTCTCAAATCTTAGCCACCAGCCCTGACCGGGGCTGTCCCTGCTGTGTCTTATATCCACCTGCCCATTAGCCTCTCAAATGGCATCTCACGTGCACCATTTAAATGCCTGACCTCTGGGCACCTCAGCCAATCAGCTCTTCTCCCACGTCTGTCTCAGTAAGTTCATGTTTCACCGGTTCCTCAGGCCCTAAAGTGCTGGCTTAGCCCCTTCTGTCCTTACCCTGTCCTGACAGTGTAACTAGACCCCATGGGCCTTCCTGTGGATTCAGATCTGGATCTGATGAATCGCCCGTCACTCCTACCTGCTCAGCATTTCCCTGTCTCTCCCGAGCTGCTGCAATGGCCCCTGACTGCCCCCAGGATCTCATTACTTCCAAAGAGACCACCACCCCCCACCCCCCACGGCAAAGGGAATTTTAGTAGTAAGTGGGCTGATGGAGACAGGGTGTCTCCTCAGCAGGAAGAGGGGGATGGGCGTCTCCAGGTGAGCAGCCCCACCCAGTGTGGGGACCATCTCCTGTGGTGCCATGTGCTGTGAAGGGGACACGAGACACGGCCCTGAGACCCCTGGCCAAGAGGATGCGGGAAACGGGCCCAAACGTAAAACCATGGGTGAGTAAACCAGCACTCTTCAGAATAGCCATTTGTTTGCTTTTTAATAGCAAAATATTCAAATGCATGTAATTAGAGCATAGTGTAATATGACAAAGTGCCATATATTTGGGAAAAAGTAATAAAGTGCAAAATGAGTAAGAAAGAGAGGCTTCCTGTGAGTAACGATTAGCCTGAAAGGGCACAGGCAGGAGGAGGGGCTGGACGAAAGAGGGAGCCTCGCCACCAGGGCCCTGGGCCTTCCAGCTGGCGGGGCCTGGTAATTGTGGAGGGACAAAAAAGACCGGAGGGCACTGGTAGGTGGGGGCTGCCCTCCAACTGCTCCAAAGGAGAGGACGCAAAAGGCAGATTCTGGTGGAGGCAAGTGCTGGTTGTTAGGACTGGGAAGCAGGAGAACAGAATTCCCTGTGGGCTGGGGGCTGCTTTTTTAACAGAGCAAATAGGACTCAGCCCAGGTGTTTCTGGGAAATAATGTTAGGCATAGACAAAATTTAAGAAAGTTGCACTGCAGTTGGCTTTTTCCTGCACTAGTGATCATTTGCCCTCCTATGACTGCTGATGT